CGGCGAAGGGCAGGCGGGCCACACGGAGGCTGGGGGCGCCCCGGCTGAGCAGCGCCAGGAGCGCCGCCATCTTGCCGCCGCGCTTCCGGCGCGGTGGTGTCACGCGGCGCCACGCGTGCGCAGCGCCCTCGTCTTACCTGTCCGAGGGAGCCGGGGCCGGGTCTGAGGTGGGCCGGGGCCGGGGCCGGGGCCGCGGCCGCCGCTCCGCCAGGCTTGGAGCCTGCTGCCTGGGGCCTCACTCCCGGGAATCGACACTGCTGCTCAGGCCGGGCAGAGTCCGCCCTGGCGGCGCTGAAGCAGCCGTGACCCCGTAGGCCGCGGGGCCCGGCAGGTATCGGGAAGAATCGGCCTGCCGTGGTCCTGGCACGGACACTGAGGAGCGTAGCCAAGGCACGGGGTGTGAGGGAGGCTGGAGCTTCGCCTGCCGTCGGCTTCGAGCAGTGAATACTGACAGAACACCCGAGGGGGACCAGTGGCGAAGCAACAGGACGCACAAATTGAATAAATTTTGTAATCTTTAGTTACTTTACCTCAGCGCCTCGCTAAAATCATGTGTTCTGTTTTTACTACTAAATATCTTCAAAATCTTCCATGCTATTTGCTGAAATCCCATAGGTGACTGTATGTCATCAAACATATCATCATTGTAATGAATGGGTTAACTTTGTTCATGAAATCGAGAAGGGTGAAGAGACATATTGAGAGTTAACATATGCCTTGTGTAAATAACAAAAACTTGCTTAAGTGATGCGTGAAGGTCACGGGTCACAGGAGGAAAGCAATGGCTATAACTTACTAGATAAGGGGGGAGGAAAGCAATGGCTATAACTTACTAGATAAGGGGAAGGAAAGCAATGGCTATAACTTACTAGATAAGGAGAGGAAGGACAACAGCTGCAATTAACAAAGACTGTATTTCTCCACATCAAAAGACATTGTACATCAAAGGATACTCATCCTTGAGAAAATTTACCAAATCTACATAGTAACAGACCTGCACAAATGAGGAAAGAAGAAGCAGGACAAGGCGGAGACTTACAAGAAAGGGGGTACATGAAATGTATATAAGGAATGTAACGGTAACATAAAGTTGCGGGCCTGTGGCGGAGCAATGCCTCCCCGGCCGGCCAGCGCTGTTTTGCTCTCTTATCGCTTGCTAATAAATTCGATTTTTTTTATTCAATACAAATTGGCTCCTCCAATTTGTCACGAGCGTTTATAACAATCATCAAGACATACGTGTTCATGCATCAGCATATGTCTCATCTCCCAAACCTTTCCAGACTTGAGTTAATAAAAATTTATGATTTCATGTATGGCTTTTGGATCTCTGTCTTTATTCACTCAGTTCTCCCACCATCTTACGTGAATTATTGCATAAACTGGGGAGGGAGGGGAGCTTTGCACAGAGCCATAAAAACTTTGTCTTGCATGGTATGGTTTCAGTGATAAAATGTCCGCAGATGTGCTGCTGAAAGATTCCTTGGAGAATTCAGTGTCCCTGTTTCATTCCACACTTCCTTCAGCTTGAACGACTGACACACTGACAAAAACCAAGGGAAACCATTTTGAACTTTAATTTCCCTAAATGTTAACTACCAGGAGGAAGTAAAAAACCAATGCGATAGAGAAGTGACTTTCGCATCTTCCCATTCGCTGTTTTAATGAGCAGTACTCGATGGCAGTAAAAGGATTTGCACAGGACCATAAAAGAAACAGTTACTCAACTCTGATGGAGTGTAACTAATGTGACCTTGGCTCTGTTTCATGGTGACAAGGTCAGTCATCATGGGCTTTATTCAGGTACGGACCAGTGCCTAAGGTGTGTTTGACCAGTGCATCTTGGAGGGCAGCAAACAAGTCCCGGCAATACGCACCCACAGGCTTTCTGCCTGCTGTGTCTGTAGGAACTCCAATACTCTGATTTTCACCGAGTGGGTGCTCCTGTGCAGACGCTGTGGGCGGGGGTTTTTTTTTTTTTTAATGTGTGATGTGGTGAGCAAACTCTGGACTTCCTGCAGACAATTTTTAAGGAGCTCATGAAAGTAAAGCAGAAAAGCAAACTTACTGTCACTAGATTTATATTCGTTATAAGGTGGCCTGGACCCTCTCTGAAAAAAATCTAGGGCATAGCACATTTCAGACTTTGAAAAATCACCAAAAGCTGTTAAGGCCCCACTGTCTTGTTTGACTCAAATCTAAGTTGATGGTCAAATTGCCCTGATTCTAAGGAGATTATCAGTTTCTGTATTTTTGCATACATTAAATGATCCCCTGTACAAAGGTCTCATGACACAACTTACTCCACCTTCCAGGAACTGATTTACAGTAAATCCAAGGTGAGTAATCCAAGCTCCAGAATCAAAAATGCAAAAGTAAACTGGAACTTGTGCGAGAGAGAATCGTTGTTCCTGGTCTCAGATAAGTGTGTGTGTATGTGCATATATATTGACATTTAAGGTGGAGATGCCAAGGTTTACAACATTCACAGAGCACAAAAAGTCCTAGAGATAAGGTGCCTATGGGGCAGGAGTTGCTGGTGCAGATGGGTCCTGCAAGGGCAATGTTCACCTCTGGTTCTGACTGTACCTGTCTTGGCGTACTGGGATCTAGTATCTCGTTTCCTACGCTGCTCTCCCTCCTGCTTTCCTTGTACAGACCTAACAGTAGCTATCAGCTTAATATACACTTTGTAAAGAGAAGTCATCTGCATGTGTGTAGAGTTTTTTAAGTTGAAAGCAGGTATGTGAGCTGTAAATCACACCTCTCGCCACCCCACCATATGAAGAACCAGGCCTTGTGCTCAGAGAAGGAGACGTGGCTGGGAGGTGAAGCCAGAGCAACTGTCATTTGCACTCTTGCAACTGTCATTTGCACATCCAGACATCCCTGTACCCCTCCTAGTAGTTCCTGCATGCCAATCATCAGCCCACGTATTGTGTCTGAGTCAGTGGGGTGGAGGGCTTCTGAACTGGTCATCAACTACAGTTGAAACACACCAACCTGGCTATGATTTCTTTAATTTTTATTTACTTGGGTACTCTTGTTGAAAATCGTAAAAAGCGCAGATGATATATGACCAAAAGAAATGTAGGAGTCTTAAAAAAAAAAAAAAGGAAGATTGCCAAAAGCTGGTATAAATCACTTTAATTAAAATCTTCAAATACAAAAGTCACAAGCATTGGAATAAACAAAACTGTTAGAAAAGTTCTAAAAAGAAGCTACCAGCCAAACAATAACTTTCATGTCTTAGTTGTAACTTATATATTATTAACTATATGTTGACTGTATGTAAGACTTTCCACTCCATTTTATGCTCTGCGCTGTGGATGCAAACACTTCCTTGACACACTGAACTTAAATATAAGCTTTTTATTGTGCAGTTTTCCATCACAGCTTCAAAAGTACATCTGTTTTTTAAAGTCTTCGTCCCCGTCCCCCCCCCCATGTTGAAACCCCATGTAGCTGGTAGCATCCTTTTAAAGCTTAAAAAGGGAAATAGAGTGGTGTGGTGGTGACGTATTCCCCTACTGTGCTCAAAATATCATAAGGCGATGCAAATAAACATGTGTGGGAGACCACAGGTATTCTCTGAGGCATTTTGCTACGCTGCAGACTGGCAGCCTGCGTGCCAGCGGCAGACCGAACTGCATGCAGCAGGACCCGCGCAGGGACGACACGGCCAGGGAGAAAAGCCACCACCAACACAGATTTCTGGCCAAAATGGCTGTTTCCCCAGCGGGAGGGATGTCAGCCTGGCCTGGCAGGTTTGTCCCCAGGGTGCTCTAAGGCCCCTGATGTCCTTCTGGTGGTCGAGGGGTGGGTGGTTTGCTCAGTCTCTTTACTCTCCCGTTTCCTGGAGGACGGGAGGGACCTGAGCGAGTTAGGGAGTGTAAAGCAGAGCTCCACCTGCAGCTATAGGTTCAGGGAAGTCCTTTCCAGCTGAACCACCTGCAGGGTGGTGAAGGTTGAGGAGTCGTGAGCCCTAACCGTGCAGCCCACTGACACGGTGCTGGTGGCCTCCTCTCCTTCCCTCCTGGGGATGAAATGTGTGAGGGCAGAGGCAGACCACCCTGCAGGAACAGCCTGCATTTCCTGCGGCAAAAACTTGCCTTTGGAAAGCACGTGGCTGCAGCTCCATCTTGCGACTGAACTCTCCTAGCTTGGGAAAAATGTGCGGCGCTGCCCCAAATCCCATGGAGGACCTGGGTTCTCGGCAAGGTGTTTTCCCCTGCAGGCACCCCGACCTCACTTTGCTTTGTGGGTCCCCGCTTTCCACCCCGAAGTGCCCTCAGCAACCACAACCCCTCCTCAGGCTTCCCTGCACGATGCAGTAAAATCACAGCTGTACAGCTAAAATAAAACGCCCTGCTCATCCTCTCTGAAGGCAAGCTTTTGAAGGAACTGCTTTAAGAGCTACGCTTGCAGAAATGAGAGGGAGAGAGGAGTTTGCAGCTCCCAGCTGGCAGAACCACAAGTGCAGCATGAGAAGCTGATGCCTTTCTCTATGCCACGCACAGAGCTGCCTTGTGCTCGAGCGCAGCAACCCAGGCTGGACCGAGACCAAAACCAGCCCCTGCCTGGGTTTGCCCTACCTGGATAATTCTCCCAGGAACTTAACAAGCATCTGTCATGTACAAATTACCCAGCAGGATCTCATGTCTTCCCCAGCCCACAGGTTGTACCAGTGCTGCCACATTTGCATCCCTTGCCAGAATTAAAACTTGTGGTAGAAACGTGAATTTCTAGCATTAAATTTCCTACTAGCCAAGTGCTTTACATTTATCCTGTGCACGTGTATTAACCACTTAAATGCAAGCAATAGCTTTGGCATTTCTGATAACATAAAAGCTGTAAGAGAAGGCTGGAAGGCCAAGTACACTGCCAGGACCAAGGGGTTTTTCGGTAAGCTCTGGCAGCATTTTGTTATCCACCATCCGAAGCACATGGCCATTCAGCTCAATAGACCTGGAGAGGGACAGAGAGACTGTTTGAGCAGCTGTGCTCTGTTTGCCATCAAGCACAAACAGCTCTGGACCTGAGTGTAAACATAAACTCAGCCCAAAGCCA